TTATTAGTATCCGAAAATGTATTTGGACTCCAAGGCAATCCATGCATACAATATAGGGGGAACCAGTAAATAAACTTGTATAGTAAGTAAAATTAAATTCCTCTAGTATTATTACAAGAGGAAACATGAATTGCACACTGAGCTTTAAGTGTTTTGAGGCTGACAAAATACCTCTATCATGCAGATGTAAACATTTTTTTTATTTTGCATTCATTTTAGACATGGTGCGCAAAGTATCGGGAGGAATACATTGCGCTTCTCTTGCAATATGACACACATTCCTTAAATCCGGCCAGGTATGTCAATGGATCTCAATAATATGCTAGCAGTATTCCTGTAATACCTCCAAATGCGAAGATTTCGCAACATTTTTCCAAGGGAAGGTGGGTTCGTTGATTAGCCACGTTCGCTGCACCCTTGATGTAACTTAATGCAAACACGATGATATAAAACATAGCCTCGTTCCATGGGGAACGCGTGTATATGTGGATTCATAGCATTGTTGCTCTATTGTGTTTGTTCCACTTGGTATGATGCCATCGCTTGGTTAGTTGTTTTTAGGGGCCGATTACATAGAGCATTTTCAATCCTGGGGTTAAACTCAGCCCTGTCAGTGACCTGGGGTCAGTTGTTCAAAAGCTGGTTAACTTTAACCCAGGGTTAGCGCTAACCCTGGGTTAAAATCCTTAACCCAGGGTTAGTTAACCCTGAGTTAAACTGCGTTGTTCGAAGCTGGGTTAGAGGTGCGGTTAGCTAACCCAGGGTTAAGACATTTAACCCAAGGTTAAATTTGTTTTAAAAATAAATGTAATATAAGAACGTTTTTGATTGGTAGGCCCCGTGTCAAAACTAGGGATAGAATGGGATAGATTGGAGAAGTATTGTTTAACTAGGCAACTGAAATTGAACATTTCAAGCATGGATTTAAGCATTTTGTAAGTTTCAAGAAAAAAATATAAATTTAAATAAATCAATTTTGGAATTTTAGGCAGGCTTGAATAATTAAATTTTAGAACAAAATCCCAGCCAATCAAATGAACTTCGACTTATTTTGGAGTTGAAAAGCATTTTTCAAGGCATGCGTGTTTATCGTATAAAACAGAACCAGGGTTGCCAGTTTGGCGTTAAAAGAGCCAAATTCCTCGATTCTGGCTTCTTTTGACTTCGTTTGGCTACTAAAAATTTCGTTTGGTTTCTTTCTATTTTTTGGCTCTTTTTGGCTTCTTTTTGAATAAATACTGAAATAAGCAACTTTTCAAAAATAGTCTGCCATCCATCAGTAAAAGTTAGTTATAAACTCTGCTATGTTCGACTACATTATTCATTTATCCGGGATTCCGGATGTACGTAAATATTCCCGAACGGCGGGAAAACGAAAATTATAAATTATACTTGTTTTTACTTTACTGTTTTTCGCTGTTTTTCGGAAGATTTACTCTAAATTTCGATTTTGGCTTCTTTTGGCCAGATTTGGCTACTTCTTACGTATCATTTGGCTCTTTCGGGCTCAGACCACCTGGCAACCCTGAACAGAACACGAAAACAGAAAAAGAAGCAGCGAAATTGTTTTACAGCTTTCAATGGTTTTACTAGGTAATACACTGCGCTGCAAACAGTAGATGTGCAAGACCTTTTGTGACTGTTCAAAAAATGGCAAATGGAAACTTTGTTAAACAGGTGGTGGTACGGCGAATTGTTTGGCAATACAAGTTTTGTTTCGAATAGAGTTGTGAGAAACATTTGATATTAAGGGAAAATTACGTCATGTCTTCACCGGAAGTGAACATGTTTGATTGACAGTTTAAGAATTTTGTATAAAGCATGCGTTTAATATGTATAATGTAAATAATATAGGTTGAAGGTTTAATACAAATCATAGCAAACGAGCACGAAGTTTACGAAAGTTTATAATAAGAGTTATTTTTCGAAGAAATTTGCGAGGAAACTTGAGTTGAATGCTCGGCTTTAATAAAACTACAGTCTACAGTTTTGGTGGCGGCAATCGACAAAGATCTCGTGAGGTAAATCCTTTTACTGTACAGTGTACACAATCGAGATTACGGCATTTGTGTACCAAACTATATTTTGAAAACCGGCAGACGGCATACGTAGCTGTTTCTTTTGGCGTTTTGTAAATTAAGGTACTTTTCCACAGTAACACAATAAAACAGTAAATTATGATATCCAAAATGGACAGAAAGTTGCCGTATCTTTCACTTAAATGCTCGTATATAAATTCAAAGCCAACTTGTAAATGTATAAAATCATTTCAATGCCAAAGGCGTATGAACGGGACGAATAAGAATCTTAATAGTATTTATAGACTTAGAATTTACTTTTTGAGGTTGATTTTCCTCCATAAAATCTTTGTACACTGTTTGTTTCACCAAGTGTTTTACATTTTTTTTCACTCCTTCGACGTCCATTTTGAATACGAGTTAACCGGCCGATTAGCAATTAACCCACCTAGCGAGGAGGGTTAAATTTAACCCTTGTTTTAACCAAGGGTTAAGGATAACCTAACTTTGAACAACGCAAAGTAACCTAGGGTTAAATGTAACCCTAGGTTAAGCAAATTTAACCATAGGTTATAGCGTTAACCGGCTTTTGAACAACCGGCCCTTGCAGTCAAACTAACATATAAAGCATGCATGAGCAACTGATCAGTATTTGATTAACAAACCGATCCGTATAATAATTGTATATATTTGCTTGAAATATACAAGTGCAGTAAGGATGATTACCAATTCATTTGGTTGTATGGCTCGTTTTACCGAGAAAATCAAAGCTATAATAAAGTTTGTAAATCACGAGGAAATTTGTATCCATTTTTTCACTTTCGGGGAATTGCTTGAGTATTCAAATAATTCTCATTTCGGATTCAAACTTAAAGATTTACACGCGATGATTGGGAATATTTTAACCTATGAAAAATGTGGGGAATTCCCATAGGTTAAAAATTAATTTTAATTCGTGCACTCTAAAAAGACGCTGGTTAATATTTCTTGGTTAACCTAGAACTGATAACACTATATGCGGGTTAACTTACTAATCGATACTCCTTGGTTAAATTTCCTGGTTATTTTATCTCATTTCCGTCTGGTTCGTTAAACCAGGAACTTGGTTGTATATGGTTATATATAATGTTAACCAGACTATGTGAGGTGGATATAGAACCAGAGCCCTAGGTCTGGCATTGTCTGATTAATTTAATTAACTAGGAAGTCGTGGTCGAATTAGCCAGACTATGGCAAGAAAATGGTTAAAATGACCAAACGATTTAACGAGGGATAGGTTAACCCAAATAGGGTTATTTCTAGGCCAGCGGAAAATTTTAAACAGCGGTTTTTGGAGTGCATGTATATCGTATTTGACCAATTAGCTTTTCTCACGAGTGCCAAAATCCGCCATTTTTGAAAGTTGTACATGTAACTGTAAATTTACCATTATACAAAAACTACAGTACTAAAAAGTTGTATTTCGTGGTGTGGAGACTCTCTAACGTGAGACAAGCAGTACCCCCAAAATGGCGGGAAAATCGGCCGTGAGAAAGGCTAGTTGTGATCGCAATAAAACAAAAATGATTCATTTGTAACGTAATAATAGCCTAATTTTTGTTAGAATGAAAACTTAATTATGTAAACTTAATACAAAAACTTGATGGCAAAGTTGATTATCACACCTTGTACAATTCCTTCCTTTTTTCTTTTTAGAGTGCGAGTTCCACTTTCCAATCTTCCAGAGTTCAGCAAGGCGTTTAATTGTGAACCACCAAAAAACACTTGTACTGTGTGGTAGGAAGGGTACATTTTTCACGTGCATGTTGTGAGCATGACAGTTGTGAGACTTTTTTAGTTACAGTGTTTCAAACCATCGATAGCGAACAATTTTTCTTCATAAAAATGTACGTCTTATAACAAATTGTATTATCAGTATTGTAGATAATAAACGTGCCCACCATTAATTTTCTTACAATTTCTTCAGAATATTACGTACATTTTCATTTTCAAGATTGTTATTTAATCTTACGTTTACAAGTCAAGTGGGCATCAGTAGATGAAAGAAATCAAAGTCATAGTTGAAGTAGACTGATAAATCATGATTCCCAGTCAAAGCTGATCGAACCTCTCTGTGCTCTGAAATACGTATGTTCATTTGTCGGGTTTGGCTAACGTACAATGCCCTACAGCATTGACACTTGCACAGATACACTAAATTTCTATTCAGACAATGCTCATCCTTTCCCAGCGAAACTGCAAGAACCTCTTCCACTGTGACTATGTCACTAACGCCACAGCCATTGGCTTCATTTATGCATAGCGGAATAAGCGGATGTACCATCCAGTGCTACTTTTCAGATCAGTGAGGCCAGGAAATAATATTTCAAATCCGACTATGAGGACTGGACTAGATTTCAAGTCCTCGCATTTTAATTTTGATAAAGTCCGAGGCGAAGCTAAGCCGAGGACTGGATCAAGATGCGAGGACTTGAAATGTAATCCAGTCCGAATTGGATGATTTGAAATAATGACATCTCATACGAGTAAATCGTTACTTAAAAGTGAAGTGAATTAGTTTTAATCCAGTCCAAGGACTGAATTAATTTTGATCCGGTCTTAGAACTGGATCAATATACTTCACCAGATATCCAGTATTATATCATATGAGCAAAATAAAGCGCACAATATGGTTGGCTAATTTACTCATGAATTATTAATGAGTTTGAGATATAACTGTACAGTGCATGGCGTGCATGTAAGTGGGCGTGCATATTTAAGCCAATATAGACACTTCGATATTTTGCATATAATTATACCAATATAACCCGTAGATATTAATTTATAGCCTATTCAAATACATTCTTAGTCCACCACCAACGAAGTGCTATCGTCACAAAGTCAAGAGTTTAAAACTTTCGCCAACAACAAAATGCCTCGCAAGACTATTGTTGTTTTTAGCGGTACTGGCGCTCAGGGTTTTAGCGTTGTAAACGCGTTATTGGAACATGGCAAATACCGCATCCGAGCCGTTGCGAAGTCAACGGATAACCGAAAGGCCCTATTGCTTCGGGGAAAGGGCGCCGAGTTAGTGCGAGCCAACCTAGACAGCCCTGACGCGTGCAAGGCTGCGGTTAAAGAAGCTCACGGTGTGTTTCTTGTCACAAATTTTTGGGAGCATCACGATGAAGACCGTGAATTTAAACAAGGGAAGAATGTTGTCGATGCGTGTATCGAAGGAGGTGTAAAACATTTGATCTTTAGTGGCCAGGAGAATGTTCTTAAACTTCGTGGTTACGCGTGCCGTAAGTATATACTTATTTGTTTTACAAATATATATTTCTACATATTCTTGTGTATTTTGTTTCATGTAATGTCGGAGAATGCTCAATAGGGGAAATATAGTATATATAGGTTGGATTGCCTTAAACGTCGTCAATGAAGATGTGAAGTAAGCCTATACCTGTACTTTTATACATATATTTTACATATACACATCTTTATGTAGCCTTAACTCAGTGCTAAGTATTTCTAAGCTTAGTTCAAACTTTGTTTAAATGCTACTCAAACAAAGTGGCGTTTAGACGCACGACTGAGTTTGTATTAACATTATCCAATTTATTTATTTGAAATCTTCAACTGACTAAAGATTCACCGTCGGTTGCGACATGTACCAACCGTGGATTAAAAACATTACGTGATTGCGTTGTTTCGAACAAGCGTTACGAGAGTTAAGACGATAAGTGTTCACTTTTCAATTTTTTCAGGTGACCCGCGAATATCAACATTACGACCGCGTGCTCGATTGCTTAATATTCGCTCAAAAATCGTGTTTGATGAATTTTAAGACTAGTATTTCTAAAAATAAACACCTAACTTTTGAGAAAAAGAAATTCGTTTTCGTTTTATATATGAAACGAAACTGATTATTTTTAGCATTTGATTCAACTTTATCGAGGAACCGTAATATCATAATAAAACGTTATAATGTTTTGATAGCGGAATTGGACATTCCTGCATATTTATTATAGTATCATTTGAAGAAATTTGGATTCAAAATTTTCGATTATTTGCTTTCGTTTTGTGCTCGAGAGCCGAGATTTGTTTCTCGATTCTTTATTCTTTTAAGTAAATAGTTTAGCAATTGATTGTAAACTTACAGTGAGTGAAGCTTGGAGTGAATTTATTTCCTAATTGTAATAGTATAAAAAATCGAGTATTTTTATGCAAATTTTATCCAGTTTGTATAACTAGAGACGAGTTTCAATAAAAAATTCTTTGTTTTATACATGTTTTAACTGTATAGGAAATCGCTCCTGAACAATTTCCGTTTTCGATTAACTATACTGTCTATAGCATATTGACTGAAAACTTGAAGTTTCTTGAGAAGTGAGTTTTAAATACTTGTCTCAGACATGAAACTTACTCTAATTAAAGTGAATATTCTAGCAAAGTTTTAAAATGTTGTCACTGCGTGTGTTAGGACAATTTAATAGCTGTGCATTAATTATCAATTTAATAAGAAAGATTCTTTTTAAACGTGGTATTTTAAATGCTTTTGAAACTTCTCATCTATCTTCGATCTTCCCAGCCGTTCGCTTTCCCGCTAACAAAAAACAACAAGCAATTAATCTAGTAAATATATCCTTTGAAAGTTTCTGCACACAAGTTTTATTTCGGCAACAAAAGCAAAATGGCATCTCGACAGGTAGCATCTATGTCGTGCTGTGATGACTGATGGCGAAAAATTTTGAATTGATTATCTCTAGTCCTATCGTCATCGAATAATTGGAGATGAATCTGCGTGTATACGATAGTCAACAGTATAGTATAGCCATATAGAGTCGCTCATGATCAAGACAAAACTCAAAAGGCATTCAATGACAATGTGATTTTTAATATTGCAATTCATGTTCAATGACAATGTTAAAAATACTATACAAAACAAAACTCAAAAGGATTTTCTGACTCAAATTCCTCGGAGTAATTATAAGTCGAGTAATTACCCTCCTGGCAACACTGAGTCTCGTTTCTGATGATAGCCCACTCAAGTTATACTGTAGTCAAAAGCAATTAACGCCTCCCTTCTCAGGTATTTTCACGTTCTTTATTTAAAACTAAGTTGGCTTGTCTTGCATGTCTATACTGACACCAAATGCAACAAACTAATTAAGGTCGAACAAAGTCTTACAACATAATTTTTCGTCATAGTCCCATAGTCATAGACATAGGATTTTTTACGATGCAGTATTTCTTTTCGGGAATTTCAGACAACAATATAAGTACAATATAATTCAAAAGAACTAGACAATGGTGTTTAATTTTGCCGGTTTTGTTGTCATAAATATAAATATATCATCTATCTATCTATCTAGCGCCATATATCAAAGGATATAGTAAATATATCCTTTGAAAGTTTCTGCACAAGTTTTATTTCGGCAACAAAAGCAAAATGGCATCTCGACAGGTAGCATCTATAGTGTTTCCGTTTGAGTTATTTTGTATTATATTATGACCATAGTTGATATTAAGGGACCGATATGGATTTAGAGGATATAGGGGACAAAAGGGGGTAGAGAAAGAAACCTCGTGGAAAAAGGACGCTTGTGTATAGAATAGATTTTGGTGTGTGTATTTTAGACTAAATAGGAAAATAGAATATTATAACTGGCGACGAGGTAACGGAGTTATTAAACGCGTGTTAAAATGGCGAAAGTACTCGATCTACCAAAACTACAACCTTTTACCTTGGGGGAAACTTCGACCATTAGCCAACGGTGGCGAAAATGGATCAAGTCATTCGAATATTATATTGCTGCGTCGGGAATCAACGACAAGAAACAACAACGTGCCATCCTTCTCCACCTCGCAGGACCTGAAGTTCAAGACATTTTTGAAACCCTAGAAGACACTGGCAACGATATCGACACCGCAATAGCAAAGTTAACGTCCTACTTCGAGCCACAAAAGAACATTCCTTTCGAGCGTCACAATTTTCGACAGACAACACAACTACAAGGAGAAACAATCGAACAGTTAGCTATCCGTTTAAAACACCAAGTAAAATTCTGCGAATATGGCAATCCCAACGATATGATCCGTGACCAGATTATCGAACATTGTTCGTCTAGTCGTTTGAGGCGACGATTACTTCGCGAACCAGAACTTACTCTTGAGAAAACATTCGAAATCGGTCGTTCGTTCGAAGCATCCGAACGGCAAGCCTCGCAAATAGAAGCAGACAGCTTAAAAACCACCGACCTGGGCGTAAATGCAATCCGTTCTAAAGCTGCATCATCTCGTTATCCAACATCGATACAAACAGGTTGTTCGAATATCGTTTGTTATTGTTGTGGAAATGCCGGTCACCGAGCTAAAGACCCTCGTTGTCCTGCCGAAGGAATGTCCTGCAATAAGTGTCACAAGCTTGGCCATTTCGCTAGAGTATGTCGTCAACTGAAACCGACAAACAAGCCTGAATTTCAGAATCCTACATCGAAAAACAAGAATGAAATCTACAAGCAAAATACCGGAAGTCATGGCGAAATACGGTATGTATACGGCGCTCCACATCCGGCCACCGGGGAAAGTTCATCGGACGATGAGTATGTTTTCGAACTTGGTGCCACCGGGAAAATGCCCCGTGCAACCGTCCAAATTGGGAACTTCCCAGTTGATCTCATCGTTGATTCAGGCGCAACTGTTAATGTACTTGACAATGAAACATTTCCAAAACAAATCTCAAATTATTTCCATATGGATCATCAACACCACTGAGTATTCAAGGTTCGTTTACTGCACAGGTCTCCCATAAAGATTTAATTAC